CCTGCCGTACCGGCGGTCCCTGCCCGCGCAGTCGGGCCCATCAGCCCCAGGCCCCAGCCGCTAGCTCCCACACTTGGATGCGTACCAAATGAGGCAAGAATACAAATGGTGAGGGTCGGGTCCACACGCTATACCGTCATGTGCGACAACCGAACACTGACAGCCTCAACCCATGACACGCGGTCGGACAGCAGCCGCCTCCTGATGTCATTCGAGTCTACAGCACACTGTCTCATGCCATCTGAAGCACACTTGTAGATGCCATGGCTGGCGGTTGGCCGAGTGCCCTGCCGCTGCTGACCCTATCTCCTTCATATCCTGTCACCGCCTCACCACACCCCAACCTCGCAGATTCCGGAGGGATGGCGGCCGTTCCTGGGAACAGTCGTGGATGCATACCGGTCGGCCCTTGGGGGCTCTCAAGATCTTGATCTGAGCAGTGAGCTGGCATGTGATCTGGTGGGCGTCTACCTCCGGGGCTCCCTCCCCAGGGGTCACTTCCTCGCGGGCGTCTCCGACGTCGACACGTTCGCACTGGTGCTGGAAAGCAGCGGCAGCAGCGACAGCAGCAGCAGCAGCAGCAGCAGCAGCAGCAGCAGCAGCAGCAGCAGCAGCAGCAGCAGCAGCAGCAGCAGCAGCAGCAGCAGCAGCAGCAGCAGCAGCAGCAGCAGCAGCAGCACCGGGGAGGCTCGCGATGGCGACAGACGCGCGCCCCCGAGTGCGGCGCCGCGGGCAGCAAAGGCGGCGGTGCTCGCTGCGCTCGGCCCCGCTCTCGCACAGCACCAGGCCCTGCTGGGCTTTGTCAAGGTGGGTGTGTTCCCCCAGAGAGGTTGGCATGAGGCGCCGCAGGACCGGGGGCCCCTGGCCGGCGGCGTCCCGCCGCCCATCTGTGCGTGTTGCGAGGGCTTGGGAAATGACTGCTGTCGGTGCCTCATCAGCACTCGAATGGACAGGCTGCACCCACTGCCCTGGAAGCTGGGTGGTTGTCGCTGGGTCGGCGCCGACTGCTGCAACCGCAAAGGCTCTGAACAAACCAGAGATGCTGCGACCTGCGATGGATGAGATAAGTATCGAAGGCACGGCATTGTCTCGGTCCATGTTTCAGTTGATTCATCTTTTGAGGTGGCACGCGCTGCCTGATGTGCCCCTTTCCCGCCGCAGTGCGAGATCAAGATTGTCCCTGTGCCTGCCGCCTCCGCCGCCGGCCGCGCCCTGCGGCGCGCGATCGCCCGCGGCGGCGGCGCCGCGGCGCCCTCGCTGCTTTTTGCGGGCGCCTATGGCCCCTTGTCCGGCGGTGAAGCAGCCCACCGACACAGGAGGAGCGGCGACAGCGGCAGCGGCGGTGGCAGCAGCAGCAGCAGCGGCAGCGATGGCGGCGGCGGCGGTGGCGGCGGCGGGGGCGCTGCAGGATGGCGGCTGCGCCCGCACGTCGCGCACCGCATCCCCATGGCATTCGAGCTTGCGAGCCAGTCTGTGGCGCTGTGGGGCCTCGACCTGCCGGCCCTCATGCCCGACACGGCCGCGCTGCCCGCGGCGCGGCTGCCGCCGTCGCTGGCGGACGATGTGGAGGCGGCGAGGGGCGCGGCGGCGGCGCCGGGCGCGGGGCCGGCCGAGCAAGGTGCGGAGGAGGGGGCCAGGGGGCGGCGCGTCTTGCGGCAAGCAGCATCCGCATTTTCACCCTTGAAAGCATGTACCTGAGTTGCTCATGTATCAAAATTTCTAACATTTGCATGAAAAGCTTATATTAAGGATTGACTGATCGTGCTCTGCGCCCGCCTGCCCCCCGCAGGCCGCGCGGCACGCTGGGCGCTCAAGCGCTGCATCAGGGCCGCCTTTGAGGTCGCGCAGCCCCGCGCCGGCGTCGACACCCGGGACCTCTTCTGGTGTGTGGAGCACGCCGCGGCGGCGCTTCCCAAGCTGGCGCCGCTCCTGCAAGAGGCGCTGCGGCTGTACGTGCTGCTGGCTGACTCAGACTCTGATCAGGAGCCAATCAGCGGCAGCGGCAGCAGCGGCCGAGGTGTGAGCAGCAGAGGGGGCGACGCGGCCACGCTCGCCGCGGCGTGGCAGACGGCTGGCCGGCTGGTGGCGGGGATTGAGGCTGCGTTCCTCCGCCATATGCTGCAGCCAGAGCCGGGGTGGCTGACGCACCACTATCACCCGGGTGACGTTGACGGTGACGTCAGCGGTGATGCCAGCGGGGCTTGCGGCGGTGGGGGTGGCGTCGGGTGGCGGTTCGAGGGGATACGGGGCATCTTCACCGGCACAAAGGCAGCGGCGGCGGCTGTCGCCCACGGTGGTAACGGCGGCGTCGCTGTTGCTGCGGCTGGCGCGCGGCCGCCTGCCGTGCTGGTCCCGGTGGCCCGCCAGGTGGGCGCTTGGAGTGCGCGGGGCAAGGGGGCAGGGGCACCTGTGCTTGAAGGTTCCACTGCAAGGCGTGCAGCCCTTCTGTTCGTCTGTCCAGCGTATCGACTCCTTGCTGCGCACGGCGCCCCATGGATGGCGCACCAGCATTCGCAGCCGTGCGCCCTTTTCACGCACACGCATGCACGCATGCACACGCACGCACACACGCACACACACGCACACACACTCCTACACCACTACTGCGGTTGCCGGACAGGTCCCTGCATGCGACTGGCACGAACCATCTCAGCGCGGCCCCGCCGCAGCCGCCATCATGCGCTGCCTGCTGGCAGGCAGCAGCAGCAGCATCCGCAGCGGCAGCGGCAGCGGCAGCGACAGCGGCGGCGGTGGGGAGGGCGCCGCTTGGCGGGACTGCGGCTGGTCGGCGCCGGGGGCGCCTGGGCCTTGGTACGAGGCGCAGCAGGCAGCAGCGGGCACACAGGGCGGCGGCTGGGCCGCCGCGGTGCGGGGGCTGCCATCAGAGCATCCCGTTATCCTCAAGGGCGCCGCGGCCGCCTGGCCGGCGGCGCGGGACTGGACGCCCGAATGGCTGTGCGCGCGGCCGGGGTTTGGGGGCAAGGTGCGGGTGGCGCCTTCCCTGCAGTTTCCGTTTGTGGAGCCGGTGCTGGCGGACCTCCTCACCCAGGCCAAAGGTGGGTGCGGCTGGATGTTTTGAGGGTCGCACTATCGTGTTTTGTATTGCGGTTTGCCCTGTGGTGCGACCTCGGGCTGCGACGTCAGGGGGCTGCGTGCGGATCGGCGCTGAGACACACACGGCCGTGCTGCCTCCCTGCGGCCTGGTCGTGTCCATCACCAGCAATTTGCCAGTGTGAGCTCCGAGGAAGAGGGTGCCGACCGCTTCCCATCCTCCCTGCCTCCCCGCCCCCTGTGCGGTGCGGCCCGCCGCTCCGCAGGCCCCGCGGCGGCGCCGAGCGCACAGGTCAGCATGTCAGGCCCCGACTTCCTCGCGCGACTGCGCGCCCCACCCGGCGCAACGCGGGCGCCGGCGCGCGGCCGGCCCGGGCAGCCCTTGCAGCGGCCGCCGCCGGCGGTGTACTCTCCTTTGGAATACGTTTACATGCAGGCGGAGGTGCCGCCGAAACTAGCGGCCGAAGGCCTTCTTTTTGGGGATTTGCTGGAGCAGCTGGCCGCCGCTGCAGCTGCAGGGTTTGCCGCGTGCGAGCACGGCGCTTGTGGGGGGGTGCAGTTGGGTAGCAGCGCGGCCGGGCTGCGGGTCGCGCAGGCGCCGCGTGCCTGGATCGGCCCCGCCGGCGCGGTGTCGCCGCTGCACTTCGATTCGTCCCACTCCTTCCTGGTGCAGCTGCGCGGCGCCAAGCGCATGCTGTTCCTGGACCCTGACCAGCTGCCGTGCAGCTACCCGTACCCGGACACCCACCTTCTGCGGCGGCGTGCGAGCGTCAACCCGGCAGACCCTGACTACACCCGGTGAGCGCAGCGCTCCTTGCGTGCAGACAGTAAAATTTTCTTCAACTGCACGCTGGCCCTGCATCAAAAGCAATACAATACTCGCCAGGCTGTGTTGTCGTCGCCTCGCGCCTGGGGCTGCCTGTTTGGCCAGTGCACGTGGCCGTGCCCCCTTTGTTGAATATTGCTCCAGCACCTCACAACACACCTCAGGGCTGCGCAGCCATTTTCTCAAACGTTTCGCTCACCCACCCTCCATCATAACTCCCCCACGTCATCCAACACCGGCCCCCCTTGGCAGCTTCCCCCTGGCCCGCCGCCTGCGCTTCATGGAGGCCCTGCTGTCACCCGGTGACGCCGTGTTCTTCCCGGCGCACTGGCTGCACCACACGGAGTCACTTGACGAGTCCGTGTCGGTGACGTGCCGGTTGGTGGCCGGCGCGGGGTGACGAGGTGATGTGTGCGCTCATGCCATTGATGTGTGCACGAACCTTCCCAGGATGAAACCATGCCCTGTTGCTGGGTCGTCCCTGCAAAGTCCCTTCAGCAATGCATGCAATGGCTGTTGCTGACTTAACTTCAATTGATTTGAGTCGCTGGGCTTTTGAAACATCAGAGTTGAGGTGCACCTTGTGCGCTGTGATATGACGCGTACAATGTTCACCATTACACGTGCACACAGAATGCAGGCCAGACACACACATAAACACACACATCTGTAGCAAAGGGCAGCACCAGGTGCAATGGGTGCTGCCAATCAGACAGTGCCCTGCTTTTGGGCAGCCAGCCCAGTCAGCCCGCATCACTGCCGGCACTAGCAAAAGCAAAACAGCCGCAAAATGCGACGCCCACAACTTGTCAAAGCGCGCTCTGGCGCACTAAGCCGTTGTGCAAGCATCCATGGTTTGCAGTGAATGACTGCGCACGTGCAGGGGCGGTACAGGCCAGCAACACTCGGTGTAATGCGTCCAGCGAATGCCAGGGTCCAAGCTCGACTTGGGCCCGGAGAAATGCAGCTCAGATGGCAGCACAGCTGCGGCCGCTTGCTGCGGGTGTGATGTACAAGGCTCATGAAACAACAGGGCCAAGATCAAACAAGAGCCAGACGCGCGGGGCGAGCAGGCCGAATGGAATGCTGTCCGCCGGAGGGGCCGCCAAAGGGCAGAGCGCTCCTCAGCGCTGCTCAGCGCTCCTCAGCGCTGCTCAGCGCTGCTCAGCGCTGCTCAGCGCTCCTCAGCGCTGCTCAGCGCTGCTCAGCGCTCCTCAGCGCTGCTCAGCGCTCCTCAGCGCTGCTCAGCGCTGCTCAGCGCTCCTCAGCGCTGCTCAGCGCTCCTCGGCCGTCGCTGCGCCGCCGTCCTCCTCGCGCCGCTCGCGCCCGGCCAGCCAGGCTTGCGGGTCCCCGTGGCGCCGCGGAGGCCGAACACGCTTACGCGCGCTGACGTCATCACTGCCGCCCGTCCCAGCGCCCTGCTGGGCATCATGGGCGACCGGGCTGGGGCGATGGCTCGGCTCCGGCTTGGGCTCAGGCGTGGGTGAGGGGTCGGGCGAGGGGCCGGGGGTTGGGTTGGGCTCCCAGGGGCCAGTCTTGCCGTCCCAGCCCTCATTGCGGAAAGCCTGTCCAGGTACACAGGAAATGCAGGGTGCGGTGTGATGGGATCAGCTGATTGTGCGTGCGTGCATCCGTGCGTGCATGCGTGTGCGTGCTTGTGTGATGGGAGCTATTGCAACGGGGCGTGGCGTGGCGTGAAGCGATTGCGCGCGTGAGACAATAAGCCCCTGCAGGCTTGCAGGATGCGTCGGGCAGGATCCCAGAGGTGCCTCCGTGCAGGCCCTCCCGCGTTGCGCCCGCACGACCGCAAACGGTATGCATCGACCATTGATCTTCCCCTTGAGCGCGCTTTGCTGCCTGCATGCAAATGCCAATATTGTGTCCAGACATGCCACCGAGCGAGGGTCCCTTTGGGGGCGTCCTCGCCCACCTGGCAGGCGCCCGCCACCGCGTCCAGGGCCCGCCACATGCGGTCCACCGACGTGGGGCCCGCGGCCTCCCGCCTGCGGGCAATTTGCGTGCGTTTGGGATGCAGCGGCGGTGTGGTGGCGGCGGCCAGTCTCGCCGAAACGAATCGGGGCTTCTCAGAAGACGGCTCGGCCGTCTGCGATGCTTGTAAACAGGGGGACAGCCGCAACCGCCGCTGTAACACAAATGGAGGGCGGCATCTCTGCTCCAATCAGCCTGGGAGCCCCGCTTCAAATCCGCCAAGCTTTGCTCCCCTCCCTACAAATCAGGGTTCGTGATGTGGCTGCTTCCATGCTCAGGGCCCAACGCTGCTGAAAAGCTCAACACTAGTTCTCCGCTTTTTGATCGACACCTTGATCCGCCATGGCAAGTTGCGCCCACGTGCCAGGCGGCCCGCGCCCCACCCCACCTGATCCTCAGGCTGAGCTCCCCATTCTTGGGGGTGGTGCCGGCGACTGCGTCCTCAAAGCTGGTGTTGTACTTGATCACCTGGCGGCGGGCGGCGGTCCGAGGTTGGGTTTGATCGCTCCGAGGTTGAGGTCGGGTCACCAGTTGATCGAGGGTGTAGACAGTGCAGTGGGTGCCCAGGGTGGAGGCAAGACCGCTGATGCCAGCTGAATCAACCGCGCGACCCAGTGCTCGCGCCAGGCTGCACCCCTTACAACGCAGGCCACCCTCCGTGACATCAGTAGCTAGATCACGGCAACCAAAAGTGGAGGTTCCCGCATGCGAACATGCCAGATCAGATCACACCAGATCACAACCAGATCACATCAGATCACATCAGATTGCAGGTTGGTGCCCACCAGGTTGGCCTCCCCGACGACGCCCTGGAATATGACGGTCCACACCACCTTGGCGCGCCAGACCGTGTGCATGAACTGCAGCGGCTCGTCCTCGTCGACCATGACCACCTGGAACGATGAGTCACAATCATGTACAGTATGCGGGACAGGATCGGATTCCTTGACGGCGATACGTGGGCCGCCTGCCGCGCCGCGTGCGGAATGCAATTGTGGCATATGCTACAGCGGCGCGGAGTTCAGCCCCCGAAATGTGCATCCCCCGTAAAGCCAATCTTGTGAAGCCCAAGACCCCAGCATCAATGATGTCATCAATGACATCATCATCAGTCACCTGCGCCAGGTTCGGGAAGTAGTCCTTGACGCCGGCCGCTGTGCTGATGTTGAGCGACTGCGGCACCGGGCGGTACAGCGGGCTCATGGTGTCCCGCAGGTGGTCGCCTGCGGTACGGTACGGCGGTACGGGTGCGGACGGAGCCGGTAAAGCAGCCGTTGACGCAGGGGGGACCCAATCGTGAAACCAAGGCCAGAGCCATGGTGACGATTTTCAAACGCAGCAGCGACTGCAGTCAATGAGTTTGAATGGTCAGAGAGCAGTGAATCACGCCAATGAAAGTGAAGTTCCATAACGTGAACCAGGGCATCACCCCAAGCACGAAAGTAACACCATCACCCACAGTGGATGTCATTTTCCACCTTCTTGGTGAGCTTCGCGCCTGCAGCCTGCGGTGGCCATTATTCATGGCATGATTATTAGTCGTGGGTTTGCCACGTGGTCATCGGCAATCGCCCAGTCAGGTGAGGGGTCCCAACCAAGTGAGCGGTCGCAAACGCTGCTGTGCAGTGGCCCATGTTGCGTTGCGTTCACAGTCACCAAAGAGACGCCCTGATTGCTGGAGTGTCGCCCACCAAGCATGCGCTACGTATAAAGAGGCTGGCCAGCTGCTGCAAAATGGAGGCCCAACGCCCAGAATCGGCCGGACGCCACAAGCGACCAAATCGGCACGGTGCTCGCCGCAAAGCATGTGCTCGTGTCCGGCTGGCGTGGAACGTTTGATGATGCGCACCGTGGGGGGCAGCTGCAGACTGCCTGCCCCAATGACGGGGTCGACCTGAGTCATGGTTTCAAAAAGGTGAGTCATAGTGGGGGAGGTGGTTTGATGGTGAGTGGTGGAGGGTGCCGGTGTGTGAAGATATTTGATGGCCTTTGGTGTGGTGATACGAGTGATTGTGAGTGATCGAGGCTGGGCCCCGCAGGCCAGGCACGGCAGCTGCAGGCGTGGCCCCTGAGGACTCGGCCGCCGCCACCACAGGCACCCATTGCTGCCGCGCCCGCGGCCTCGCGCACACGCGGTGTGGCCCCGCGCATGCATGCACTGGGGCGCTGGCCACATAAAGATGTCACAAAACACTAGCCCTGCTCAGGCGACGCGCAGCCCACGCAAAATTGTAAAAAAACAGGCGGCGCCCTGA